TAATCTTGTTCAGTAGAAGAACCCAATTAAAGGATCCCAAGAGTTGATTTGTTAAGATTCACTTGAATACATCCAATGAAGGGAACACATTTCTATGAAGTGAGCTACTGTTATTATTAGGAATCAGGCTTCCTATAATATAAAACCATTATTTTGCAGATTTAATTAATTTCTAGTCCCTATTCAAATATATTGCCTTTTTTGAACCTTTTCTAATTTCTCTGAATGATTCGTAAATGGTACCTAGAATGAGATACAAAATTCAAAATGGGTTCTTTTGAGAAATGTAGGTTTTGCCTTAGGAATGGGGGAAGCTTGAGACAGTTAAGAAACAAGTCTTAGCATTACATACTACCTGTCTATCCTCTTCTTTTGTGGTCCAAATCTCTTGTTTATCCTTTTTGTATTTCAGATTTTTACTAAGCTTTGTAGCCATAGTAGCATCTTCTACTGCCTTCAAGGAAAATATTTTCAATTGACATTTTAAAATCTATTTTAAGAAATACAACCCATCTTGACCGTTTCTCCCAATTAGGTTTCTATCATGAAAATCTACTTATTATTTCTCTCAGGTTACTAAAATATACATTTCACAAATGCTTCATCTATTTCATTTTTTTCAACCATATTTTTCTATGTAATTAGTACCATTTAGGATTGTTGATTCTCTTGTACTTTACTTTATTCTCTTTAGGACAATATTTTTAGTAATGCAAGAAAGGAATTTCCTGGAAAGACCATGCTTGACAGATTTTTGTCTTACAGCAGATGTTTGACAATTCATTAGGATTTCATGACATTTGAAATACCTGAAATTTGCTTTTGTAAGATATCCTTCATACTTTTTTGGTTGGGAGTGTGCTAATAGGTATTCAGCATCATTGCCATTGGTTTTTTTTTCTCCATTATTTTATCCTAGTTGCTTTGTACAGTACTACTAAGCTTATCCATTTGGACTTCTGAAAAGGAAAACATATGCTTAATATCTAGTGCAATTTCTGTTTGCTTTTAACTAATTTGTTCCTTTTAAATGATTTTTCAATTGCTATATTCCTTTTGTGTGAGATATCTCTCAGCTCTTTGTTATACCTATTAAATCATACCTGATCACCTACCCTAAGTATTTAATATTTATTTCCTGTACTTCTATACTAATAGTATATAAATGGTGAAGATGGGCAATATTGTAAGTAATTTTATTTCTACCATTTTAAATTGTTTAAAAGGCCTTATTTCAGCAGCACTTCATTTTTATAGATCACAAGTCTATAAGAACTGTAGGTATTTCTTAAATGGCCGTGTGTGGCCATTACTGCAGAATTTTAATTTTTATAATCCACCACATATAGTTTAAAATTTTCTGAATTGTACCATATTTTGATTAAATAAATTTTATCAGTTTTTGCGAAGTACAGCCCATCATGTTACAGCAGTTTACCATCTTGATAACTTAAAAGCTTGTCCCAGAAATCCAATCTATTTTGTCTTCTGCATCATAGTAATCATTCTGCATTTTTCAAAAAGATCAGTCTCATCTAACACACTATAAAATTAAAACAACATTTTCCTTCTTTTGACTCAGTCCCTATGAACAAAGCATACATACTTCCTATTCCTGCGAAAAAATGATAAATTAAACATTCCAAATAATGAATCTCTGCTGCTGTTTAAATATGAAAAAAGAGAAGTATGCAGAGAAATATGTATTGCTCAGAATGGCTAAAAGTGATGTATCTTTTCTTTAAATATATCTTTTCTTGGAGCATTTGCACCAAGATAAATTCCTTGTGTGTCCAATCACACTTGGCTAATAAAGAATTCTATTCTATTCTATTCTATTCTATTCTATTCTATTCTATTCTATTCTATTCTATTCTATTCTCAGAATGGCTAAAATGGAACCTCTCTAATAACTACATTTGGAATTCAGAATTTTGGTAACAAAGATATTTAGTGACTTGTATGCAAGTTAAATAATAGACTTTTGTCAATAAAGAACTCATGGCCACCCATCATAATTTCTTTGGTGGAACCCGTATGATTAGAGTTGTGAAATCCAAATTAATTTTTTAAATTTTTTTAACAGGATTATGAAATTTAATTTTAACTTGCTTTTAACACACAAGATGTATCTATTAATTGGTGGGTTTCTATTCTATGTTTTTTCCATTGGCAGCAGGTCGTTTAATCAGGCATCACTTTGTGTGAAGCGTAAGCTGGAAAAAAAGGAGAAGGAAAAGGAAGCCATGTTTTTACTAATTGCATAATCTGATCTTTGTGGAAATCAGAAAAGGATTTTGAACTCTCAGCGAGTAGGAATAATATTATGTATGCCTGATTGCCTGGACAATTGCAAAAAATACTCAGTCACTGAAATTGTAAGATAAGTAGATTATTTTTTTTTATAAAGGAACAAGCATTTTCCCAAACAGAATTTTTATTTTTCTTGGCTCTAACTATAAAAATGAGTAGTTGAGACATTTTTCTCCCTTCTGATTCATTTTTCTTCTCCCCTGTGCAAGATCTATAAAGAGAAGCTGCATAGAATACAGGCATGTAGGTAGAATCTACTTTATTATTGGCATTTATAAGTAGTTCTGTACATTTTTATTGGTCAAGAAGTAGCAATTGTTCTTTTAAAAATAAAATGTTTATAAATTTACATTAAATAAATGTGCCAAGAAGTGAACAGAAATAATCAGAGTTAAAATTAAGACTTAATAAAAAAGAATAAAACTCTTCAATAGTGACCATAAAGTATTGATAACACTATAAAAAATGTAAAGAATTTTGAGTTCAGCTCAGTATCTGTGAATGCATGGCTATGTAATAATTCCTTCTGGACTAACATTCCAAACCAGGCTGGATATTTAACTACCCCTAATTAAAATGCCTTTTCTACAGGTCTATTTTTGTACATTAAACATTAGCCTATCATTTATTTTATTTCATTAGAATTGTATAATAACTATTGGCTAGAGGACCACTTTGGTTTTATTTGGTGTGAGGTATTATTTTGAAGAAAGTTTCCGAGGGTTTAGGGATAAAATCAATCTTTAAACCTTTCTAAGGCAGAAACAACCTATTCTGTCTGTTAATTGCTTTCTGTCAATGCCTATTGAAAAATTCAGTTTAATTTTCTATCATGATATTGTATTTTCAAATACAGATTTGTTCCCTTCCCATTTCTATTCTACAAAAGTGAATTAAAAATCTGCATAAAATTGTGTACAAATAAA